CCGGCGCCCCCGGCGGCCCCGCTGCCCGGTGAGCTTCCATGGTGGCTCCTGCCCCCTGACCCGGAAACAGTTCTCGGTGTTTCCGGCTCGCTGAGTTTTTCCTCCGCCTTCGCGTGCCCGCTGGGTGCCGACGAGTCCCGCAAACCTCGGGGGACCCCGGGCTTGCTATCTTGTCATCTGTGGGACTCGTGGGAGCCGAGGGGCTTCCACACCGTGTCCCCTGGGCCTGCAGGCCGCTTCCCTGCATCCCCTCCCGGCTCTCCACTCTCGGCTTGGGGCTGTGACGGACTTGTTGGCCGGGACTCTTGTTTGCAGAGATGCTGCAAAGCAAGCTCAAACACTTGGCTTCTGACATCCCGGCCAGCAGGTCCAGCTCTTCTTCACAACTCGTAAAATATGTTTTGTTTTTTAAGTTTTTCGAGTCAAGGTTGTCTCTGGGACTCTGTAGACCAGGCTGGCCTCTAACTCGGAGATCCGCCTGCCTGTGCTTCCTAAATGCTGGCACTAAAGAAGCGCACCACCGCCGCCCAGCACAACTCCTAAAATATCTTCCCTCTGCTTACTCTATTCTTTCTTCCCTTCTCATCTTCCAAGTTCAACGTAATCGGGTGTGTTTTTGCAGATCCCGGACAGTCCGATCTAACGAAGCATTCCTGAAGCATCAGGGCCAGTTATTCACGGTATTCCAGAACGGAGGCTGGATGCTCCCTACCCACAAGACCCCAAGGGAACTGCAATGTAGTCAATACAGTTTCATTATTATGTTACCTTAAGCAACTTCATAACTACTATAAACTTAACATTTTTTTCCCTCTATAAAGTTGTAGTCCTATTACCTACTTCACACGGTTGCCTGAGAGGGCACTGTGCTAAAGGTTTTTATTTGTTTTCATAGTACCATGGAACAAGGTGTATGTGTCATGATACAGCTAGCTAAGGAGCTTGAGTCAAACCCAGCAATCAAATCCAGGAAAGGGCAGGATGTGACCAGGCTAAGAGGTTATGGAGCTGGAGCCCACTGTGCATGTTGGGTAGAAGTAGAAAGTACAGCTTTGTGTGTTGCACTGTTTGGTGTTTCCTGTGGATGGTGGAAAAATTATTGGAGACTTTAAAGCTAAGGACTATATGATGAGGGCTCTATGACCCAAGTGTTTGTGTGTGCCTTTGTGTGTGCGTGTGTGCGAGCGCGCAAGCGCACAGCCTTAGCTGTCCCGGAACTAGCTCTGTAGACCAGGCTGGCCTCGAACTCACAGAGATCCACTTGTTTCTGCCTCCTGAGTGCTGGGATTAAAGGTGTGTACCATCACTGCCTGGCCCCCAAGTGGGGTTTTTTTGGTTGTTTTTAATATCATTGTGTGTGTATATATACATGATGGGGGTGGTGCTTCCATGGCATATAGAGGACAACTTTGTGGAGTCTTTCCTTACACATATGCATGGGTTCTGGAGATCAAATCCAAATTGCCAGATTTGCATGGCAAGCTCCTTTACCCACAGAGCCATCTTACAGGCTCTCAATTTGACAATCTTCTGATTGGAAATCCGTTTCTGCTTTCTTCCTGCACACAGTGACTAAACATTCTTTTGCTCAAATGTTGACTTTCATTCCAAGAAATTAAGTCTTGCTGAAGCCTAAGAATTCATTTTCCGGGTCCCTTTGTAGTGAAGAACTATCTAGCTTTAACTTGGCTGCCTAAAACTGTGAATGGCTTTAGTTATAAAGCCTATACAGATTGCAAGTTTAATTAACTGAAGGTCCTTTTGCATCTTAAGACTGTACAGAAATGCTCAATTCATTATATTGGATTTGAACTGAAACTAATTTTAATTTTTTGAGACAAAGCTTCCATGCTGTAGCCCAAGCTGGCCTGGAACTATGTAGCACAGTCTAGCCTCAAATTCACTGTATGCTTCCAGCTTCAGCCTCACAAGCACAGGGATTACAGGTATCAGTCACATGCCAGCCTAAAACTAATTATCTGTGAATATTCATAAATGTTCAACATTTATCTTAAAGATCTTTGGTCAAGATAGACCATTTATAATTTTTTTTGGTTGGTTTTTGTTTTGTTTTTCAAGACAGGGTTTCTCTGTGCATCAGGCTGTCCTGGAACTCTCTGTGCACCAGGCTGGCCTCACACCTGCCCACTACTACCCAGCTATAAAAATTTAAATTATATATGCAGCTCAGATATGGGACATCACCAAACAATAATTTATAAAGCATGTATTAACTATAACAAATATGCAGTGATTTTATTGAAACAAGTTCATTTGTAAGTTTTTAAAAAGATTTTTATTTCATGCATATGAGTGTTTTGCCTCCATGTGTGTACATGCAGTTTGCAGTATGTGTATATCTGGTGCCCACAAAGGTCAGAAGAGGGCACTCCTGGAACTGGAATTACTATGTGGCTGCTAGGAACCAAACTAGGGTCTTCTGCAAAAGTTGCAAGTGCTCTTTACCACTAAGCCATCTCTCCAGCCTCCATTTGTAAGTCAAACTCAATATGCTCTCTAAAACATCAGTGAGAAAACATTTTGGTGTGTATGTGTGGGTATATACACAGAGGCTAGAGGTCAACCTTAGGTGCCATTCCTCAGGAGCCATCCATCTTGTTTTTTGAGACATGGCATCTCAGCAGGACCTAAAACTCAATGATTAGGCTACAATGACAGGCCAATGGGCCACAAGGATCTACCTGTCTCTACCTTCCCAGTGCTGGGATCATAAGCACAGGCCATATATTCTATGCACATGCCCAGCCTCTTATATGAGCGCTAGGAATCAAGCTCAGGTGTTCATGTCTCTGTGTCATGCCCTTTACTGACTATCTCTGCAGCTCCTACACTTTTTGATGTTAAATATACTTGGCCAGCATGGTGGTTTACCCTTGCAGTCACAGCACTTGGAAGACTGAGGCAAGGGGAGTGCTATGAGTTTGTGGCCAGTTTGGCCTAGATAGAGATTGTTATTTTAAAAAAAAAAAAAAAGAAAAAAAATCCCCAAATATTGGAAAACACTATTTAAAATGGACTCACAGTAGACTGTGGATTTACTAATTAATTGTGTGTGTGTGGCCAGCTAGTGATCTACAGAACACTTCATGTTGGCTTTTAGAATGAAGATTCATGGGGAGATGGAGAGATGGCTCAGTTGTTAAGAGTACTTGCTGCTTTTCCAGAGGACCCAGGTTTGACTCCCATGGCAGCTCACAACTGTCTTTAACTCTAGTCCCAGGAGATCTGACCCTCTTCTGCCTTTCAGCTTCCCCAGGTGTGCACAGACATATATGTAGGCAAAACACCATACATATAAGAATAAATAAATAATTTAAAGGAATATTCATGAACAATGTTAAAAATGTTAAAAAGTGAAAGGGGAAGAGAAACTGCTCTTTATTGTCTGGGGTGAAGTTTACTCAGATAGGCCAAAATTGTAAATATAACACTTCAGGGTTGTAAACTGAGAGGGGCTTTTCCAGGACAGAAGCAAGGGGAAACTCTGGAGCAACAACTCCAGTGGTAGCTGCCAGAAAAGACACTACAGCGCAGTGTACACACCCAACCTATCTCTTCTGATGACATACAAAGAATGATAAGTGATGTAAGAAATACATGTATGTAAGGGCTTACTAGTTCACATATAGTCTTTATCCATGTGGAGTAAATTAGGGACAACATTTTCTTCTTCAATCCATCATGTTTCATTTACTGCACCTTAAAAAGCAGCAATACAGAGGAATCATTGCTAACCCAGACAAAAAAAGCACTAAAGAGTAATATAGCCAAGTACACCTCGAATGGTTTCTGCTAGCCTTTATTTGTGAAAGTTTACACAAAAATCTCCAACAGGTGAGTCTGTATAAATCCCACATGCCTCTTTCCATTAACAAACAGCAGAATGGCTCTGTCGGGGGCTCATGACAATGGTATATAACAAGGTTTGTTGAAACTATTAGTCTCAGATTATCTTGAATATGCTGAAAATGGAGGGAAGCAGATAACATACCTGTTTATAAAGCTGATATGCTTTTGTGCTAGCCTGCTGTCCAAGGCAAATGCTCTTCAATTAACTTTGTAACTGAACACACAATGTCCAAGTTGGTTGTTTTTGGCATGAATCAAAACAGAGAAAAGGACTTGAAAGAATTTCAGTTCTACAAAGCTTAAGGTTAGAGCTGTACTTGGAAAGAAAAAATATGTACAAAATACTTATTTTATTTTCTCCTACCTTCTCTGACATTTTTCAGAACAGAAAACCCTAACTAACAGAGTAGATTTCATTGTTCCTTACAAGGGGGGAAGGCACAAGTCAGAAATAGGAGTCTCTTGTTAGGCTAATGGCACAGACTATGGTTTTGCATTTAAAAGTCTACAGATGGATTTTGACCCAAAACTTACTCTTTTTCTACCTGAATCGTTCCTCTATCACTTGATATATAAATGCTACAGCTTCCTGAACATCTGCAATTGCTGTGGTGAGGACTCAACTGCTAGATTCTTAGAAGTGAGACCTATCACTTCTCAACTGCAGATGGCAGTGTTATACCAGAGAACATTTCATGCCACGCAAGAGCAATTTACTGGAGTCATAAGACAAAGAAGGCTTCTGAGTTTACAGTAACTGGGACCTTACAGAATAGCCTGAGACTGTAACATCATAAATCGTTTCCTTTCACCTTCACACTTCATCCATGTCAACTCAACAGTGTTCTCTGATAACTTCAATATTCCACTTCTTTACTGCAAGCAACCTGGACCTAAGTCCTGTAATTCTCAGCTTGGCAACTAAGACAAGCCCTTGACAGGTCAGCAGGGTTTAAAGATTACAGAAAGAATGAATGCCTACTTACTTTCCTGGGAGAAGTGGGAAAGATATCAGATGACAAATGAGTATGTTTCCTGTTTACAAACATTTGTACAACTTTGCCCCTAGTGCTGGGGATCAGGCCCAGAGCCTTCCATATGTTAGTTAGGTAAGCACTCTATCGCTGAGGTACACGCTCAGCCCCACATCTCTTTTGTACATTAGACTTGGCCTTGAGGTACCTAATGCTCCCAACAAGTGAACCTTTTACAACACATACTTTCAAGTAGTTATCTTTCTATGTCTTTCCTGGATGTCTCTCTAAACCCCCTATGTCCAATTCTCTAGAGATTAGGAAGCAGTTAGGGACATATCAGTACAGGAATTCTAAGTCAGTGACTGACCATGCATGAAGGGCTGGTAAAATATACTTATTTCTCCCTGGTAGAAGTTATGTGAAAAATGCAAGCAACCACACGTCTGATAAAGGACCTCCACAAAACTCAACAGTGACATGAACAAATGACCCAAGTAGAAAATGGGCAAAAGCCATGGATAGACATTTCACTGCCAAGGACATACAGATGGCAAATGACTAGCACACGAAAGAATGGTCAACACCATTCATCATTAGGAAAATGCAAATTAAAACCATAATGAGATATTACAGGCACCTATTCAAGGAGCTAAGTTAAAACAACAATGATAAGAAGTACTAATGAGAATGTGGAAATGTAACATGCTGTAGCCACTCTAGACAAGAGCAGGGAAGTTTCTTTAAGAACTACTTCCCACACAGCATAGCAACTGATCTCTTAGGCATGCATCCCAAAGTGATGAAAACTTACATTCACATAAGAACCTTACTAGTTAAGGGTCAAATCCCCAAACCCACCCCATGACCTTTAAGAACAACGCAGTACCATCCATAGCCCTAGAGGAGACAACTAGCAATACATGCGACAACCTGGAGGGACACTTCATGGTAGTTATGCTGAGCGGAAAGCCAGCTTCCAAAGGTTACACTCTTGATGACTCCATTTACAGAACAAAGGAACAAAGGTACAGAAATGGTGAGCAGACTGGGGAGTCTGAAGGGAGACAGAAGAAGGGAGTGGCTACAAAAGGGCAGTATGAAGACCACATGATGGAACTACTCCACCTTGAAATGATCACTGGGATCTACATGTGACAAACTGAGACAGGACTAAACACACACACACAAGGAGTTCAAGCAGTTGAACACAAACATTTTAATTGTCTAAAATGAGATTTTCTTTTAAGAGATTATCTACAATTCAAAGCTCACTTTTTTTTTTATGTGTCCCATCAATGACCCCTTAGGAGACAAAATTATGAAGGATATCACCAGAAACTATGTAAACATTTCATCTAAGGGCCAAGAGAAAGTTCAGGTTATTTTCACAAGGAAACCGAAGAGGACAACTGCCATGAAACAAGAGGACCATGGCCATAGAAATATCGGGAGAAGAACTAGAGTGAAAGACCAAAGTGATGAGCAAGTGGGAGAAAAAACAAAACAAAACAAAACAAAACAAAAACAGCTCAAATGATCACATGAGGAAACCCAAGACGAATGCTGGCTTTGGCATTATCTAGGTAACCCCTGTTTTTTGTCTTGTTTTTCCATCGGTGACTTTAATAATCTTGTCAAAAAACCAGTCCAAATCCTACCGCATTAAAAAGAAGTCCTCATTGACTTGTTGGGTGTAGGTGGTGCCCCATGTTCTCCCACACCAAAAGAAATCAGTTCTGGCAAGAAAGCTCCACTGTGCCTTGATGATACTGTTAGTAGGATGGCCTTGAGCTAGGCCAGGCACGTCCCAGCGATGTTCTGCTGGCTGAGATTCCAGGGGACAGAAGACTGAGCCTCATTACTCTATCAACTTCTTGGCCTTGAAGAAGCGACGCAGGTAGAAGACCTGCCAGGTGGCTAGTCCAATGAGGCAGAACATAGAAAAGATGCTGAAGTACAGGACTCGGGTGTTCGTGGACTCTAAAAAAGAGAAAGCACCATGAATGGAATGAAATAAGTTGCTTCAGTTGGCTAACAACGGCCAGGGGGAAGACAAGTAATCAACCTCATTATGTCCCTAAGTATTAGAGTGCAAACAATTAAAAAAATAAAGAAAGCAAAAAGATGGGTGTGGTAATGCTCCAGTGATCTCAGTACTCCTGAGGTTAAGCCAGGAGGAGCTGGAGTTTCAGGCCAGCCAAGATTACAAAGCAAACCCCTGTTAAAATGCATTGGCTGGGGAGCTACCTCAGTAGCACAGCACTTTCTTTGCACAAGGCTCTTAGTTCTAGCTCCAGTGCTGTTTTGCTGCTAATCCCATTTAAAATGTTAAAAACTACAAATTGGTATCCTTTTGCTACAAGCCAATCAGGAATATATTCATTACATCACAGAAGAAAAGTCCATTCTTTGAAAATCTAGCCAGCTGATTCACCTTTTAGTAGCAATAGCCCCAAAGAAGCAATTTTCTTTCTCTAAGTTATATTCCACTTTCCCCAACTGAGAAAAGCGTACTCTAGCATTCAGTGTTCAGGGTCTGTGTCCTCTGTAGCTCACTCATTAAGAAGTGAAAGCCATCCCCCTCACCATTGGTGTCGCGCATCTCCTCTTCCCGCTTCTTCATGTAGGCAAAGTCATTAACGATTGATTCTGAAAGGTCCTCTAGGCGTCGTAACTCCACCTCCAATGGTTTGAGTTTCTCAACTTTTGCAATCTGGAAAAGACTGGAATTAGCACTCCACTCCCTGAGAAAGCTGCTCAAGTAAAGAACACAAGCACAAAAACAAAGCAAGCTATCAAAGTGGGAAGGTTTGTAGGGCAGGGGCCAGCCAGTGTTGGAAAGAGGCCATGAGGAGAGAAGGAGCGGGCAGGGAGATCAGAATGCATTAGACACATGTATGAAACTGTCAAAGACTTTTTAGAAGTTTACCACATTCAAATTTTCTTCTGTCAATCATCCTAAGTATTAAAATTTGGCTTTCTACCTTTCTCTACAAACTATATTTTTTCCACCTTAGATCTTTAATTTTTTATTAAGATTTATTTATTATGTATACAACATTTTGCCTGCATATATGCTTACACGCCAGAAGAGGGCACCATATCTTATTATAGATGGTTGTGAGCCACCATGTGGTTTGCTGGGAATTGAACTCAGCACCTCTGGAAGAACAGTCAGTGCTCTTAACCGCTGAGCCATCTTTCCAGCCCTTATTAAGATTTCTTTAAGACAGGTATAGCAGTGCAGGTAAAACCTGGTTTCAGGAGGCAGAGGCAGAGGCAGAGGCAGAGGGGCAGAGGGGCAGACAGAGGCAGAGAGAGGCAGAGAGAGGTGCAGAGAGAGGCAGAGAGAGGCAGAGAGGCAGAGGCAGAGGCAGAGGCAGAGGCAGAGGCAGAGGCAGAGGCAGAGGCAGTAAGATCTCCAGGACAAGGTAAGCCTAGAGCACAAAGACTGCCTTCAAAACAAGGCTAGGGAGATGCTGTAAATGGCTCAGTAGGTAACACCACATGCTAGGAAAGCAAGAGTACGTTTTTTTAAAAGCTGGGCATGGTAACACAATCCTGAAACTCCAACTTGCATTGCAGACTGGAGACTTGCAGACAGAGGCGTGCAAAGGCTTGCCAGCCTAAATGAACTGGTGAGTTTAAGGCTAAGTAAAGAGTGCATCCAGGCACACCTTGGCCCTGCCCTTTGGGAGGGGGCGCATGGCAACCAGTAGCCTGGCTCTGTAAGCAGGCACAAAAGGTCCCTTTAAGAGACAAGCTCCAACCACTCCTTTTCTCTTTCCACTGTTCCTCTGAAGAGGTAGGCAGGTCCTCTCTCCTCTCTCTTTCCTTATCCCCTCTCTTTTCCCTTCCCCCAATAAAACTTCCCACACAAGCTCAGCCTGCATGGCATGTTTGTCCCTCACCCACCATGGGATCCACCAAGTTCTCCCTCTTGCTGTATCATAACATATAGACTCTGTCTCAAAGAAAGAAAGAAAGAAAGAAAGAAAGAAAGAAAGAAAGAAAGAAAGAAAGAAAGAAGGGGAGCAACAGAGGAAGCTGCCCAATGTTTTTCTCATGTGCATGACTTACACACCAAAACAAATAATCCACTTTGTTAGAGGTACTGTACAATGAAAGGCTGTAAAGAAGATAGTTTGTTTCTCCAGATTTCCGACTGTAATAAAGCAGTTTACATTGCTTTTTCATTCATTGGAAGGCAACAGACACTATCATTAGTATGGTAGCTGTGAGAGTCATATCAGGCCAAATATATACAGAAGAATAAAGCATATGTTCTTACATCATCACAGAGTAACACACACATACACATACTCCAAGAAGATCCTATTTTGCACATGTAAGTCATACACCACTGGGCTTGATACATTTGCTCAAAAAACCATCCTAAGTTTTTTCTCCTTCCTTCCTAAAAGGATACAGCCACTTATCAAAAGAAATCTTCAAGGCTGAGGTGTGAAGGATGGAAAACTAATAAGTAGAGGTACATATCATACAAGCAAACATGTAGTTGCTTTATGTTTCTTATCAGCTATTATTGCTTTTATTTATAATAATAATAATAATAATAATAATAATAATAATAATAATAATAATAATAATAATATACTCCAGAAGTGGAGGCAGGAGATTTAGGTAACCCTAGGCTAGCTACACAGTGAGCTTGAGGTCAGCCTGGGCTACATGAGGGCCTATTACAAATACACACATATATTTTCAACAATCAACCCAAATAAACCAACAACTTCCCTATAAAGAAGGTCTCATTATGGCCATTTTGCCCAGTTGATTTTAAATTTCTGAACTCCTACCTCAGTCTCTCAAGTGGGTGAGAATATAGGCACCTGCCATGTCTGGCTTATGTTTTACTTTCAAAAGAATAAAACTGCCAGGCCTGTAATCTCAGCTCTCAGTAGGTCGAGGCAGAAGGATTGTGAGTTCAAGGCTAGCCTGGGCTATGTAAGAAGACTCAAAAATAAATAAATGAATGAATAAAATTTTGGAGCTCTTAAGTTTTGCCAAACATAATTTTTTAGTAATTCCCTTTCTACATTTGCCATTTGTTTGTTTGTTTGTTTGACAGAGTCAGCACAGGCTGACCTCAAGCTTAAAGCAACCCTCCTGCCCCAGCTTCTGGAGTGCTTTCTATTAAATGTGACTAACATGGAATGAATGGAAGGGTTTAAGGGCGATTTCCATGTTCTCTTTTCTAGTCTCTATACATTTTCTTCCTGGCACAGGTCTTACTATAATTTATTATCCTCCTGGCTCAATCTCTAATGTGCTGGGATTACAGTGCACCAACCCACCCAGTTTACTTATCTACTCTTTGATGAATGAGTACAGAGCAAGATAAACATTAATTATAAAAATATAATCATTCAAAATGTTAAAGAAACCAGCTGCTAAGGCAGGGATAGAAAAGCTGTGCTGCTGCTGATAAACCACCCAAGTCTTCACTGGACAACTATCTCTCCACACTGGAAAATGCCACCGCTTCATAAGTATCTGGCAGCTGTGTAAGATTCAGCCAGTAGTTAAATGTTCTCTGCCAAGAAAATTTTAATTACTCAGAGGCAGAGAATAAAAATCCAAAGTCTACCTTGACAGCTCTTCAGTTCCCTTTCAGAGGCAGCTACAGTTATAAACTTAGCACACAGATTTCCAGACCCTGTTAGAAGAGATGCAGTGTTTACACTTTCTAACTGAGGGTCCAGGGTTGCCATTTTAACCTATAGTATTTATCTGCTGTTTGATTTCACACAAAGTTATAGAGCACAAAATTTCCCCCAAAAAAGCCAGGTATAGTGGCACTTATTTTTAATCCCAGCATTTGGGAGGCAGTGGCAGGAAGATCTCTGTGAGTTCAAGGCCAGCCTGGTCTACATATCAAGTTCCAGGGCTACACAGTGAAACCCGGATTCAAAACAACAGAACAACCCAAAACCAAACAAACAAAAATCCCCAGGGAAAAGGTACCAATGAGATACATACTAAACAGTCTGTTTAATATCTTTTCCTGCTCTATGCTTCCCCATCTGAAGCTTCCTGAATGAGACAAAGGCCACGGCATGAAACTTCTTAGACATCAATTATTTAAGGGTCCCCAAATAGAAACTTGCAAATAGGAACTGGAAGTGAAACTGTGGTTGTGCTTCTGCCAGCTAGAAATTGTGTGTGTGTGTGTGTGTGTGTGTGTGTGTGTGTGAGAGAGAGGGAGGAAAGAAGGAAAGAGAGAGAGAGAGAGAGAGAGAGAGAGAGGATAGATGATAGATGGCACTAGCCAAAGGCCTAAAACTCAAAAAAAAGCACCAATATCAAGGATGGCCTATGTAAATTACATCTATTCCCCATCTTTCCAGTATTTATCAGCTTTGTAATACATAAATGCTCTCAGCTAAAAAAAATGTTAATTATTCAGAAACAGAGAATAAAAATCCAAAGTCTACCTTGACAGCTCTTCAGTTCCCTTTCAGAGGCAGCTACAGTTATAAACTTGGCACATGGTTTTCTAGACCCTGTTAGAATATATATGGTGTTTACACTTTTATGTGTATATAAACATACCCCAAAACACAAAATGAAATGTATTTACTAATGGTCCATACTATACAGTGTCCATGGCTCACTTTTTTTCAACCTAGAAAGATTTTTTAAAAGCGCTTTGGATTCATTTCATTCTTCTCAATGATTACTTGGTATTCTACAGAGCTTATTCAGCTATTCAGATCTGCAGGCCCTTCCTAGTACTGGGCTACTTAGAACTCTCTACCACTATTCAGAACTAAGCAGTTCAATCTGATTTTATTTCCTCAGTGAAATCCATACCAAACCCCCATCCTTCTTTCAGAAAATTATTTTCAGACTACTATTAGTAAGACAAAGATTTCATTAAAATAAAAAAAAAGGAAGCCTCATTTTTGCTAAATAATGACTTTGCTCTTGATACCAGCAAATAAAAGGCTCGCAAGTAAGGTTGAGAGCCAGGTTTGGTGAGAGCTACTTGGGAAACTGATGCAGGAGACCTTCCTCGACTAATGAGTGAGCTCACAGTCAGCCTGGGCAACTTAGTGAGTTCCTATTTCAAAAGCAAAGTAAAGAGAGGGCCAAGGATACAGCTCAGTGGTAGAGCACTTGTCCAACACGCACCAGGTTCAGTCCTTAGTACAAGGAAAAGGAGGGAAGGAGAGGGAGGAGAAAGTATTGGAGAGGGAGGAGAGGGAGAGAAGGAAGGAAAGAGGGAGAAAGGCTTAAGCTAAAGTGAGGGGAAAAAAAGCAACATACTAATTAGCCCTATTAGCACATGTACAGTATGAAGTACTTTATAGTTCAATCACGGAAAGTATTATCATCCTTATGTCTTTAGCAAAGGAACTAAAATTCAGAGACATTAAATAACTTCTCATGGTCTCACAGCTTGGTGGAATTGAGATGCGACCCAGTCTATCAGAGTATATTACTCATTCTGAAGGTTCTAGAAATTTGATGAAAAAAATCAGATTACCACACTGGGAGCTCCTGAATTAAAAGTGAAGTGAGAGCAGGGTGTATAACCTATAATCCAAGGACTCAGGATGTCAGGGCTGGAGAACTGCTGTGAATGAGGCCAGACTGGGTTACAGAGTGTGCCACTGATCCCATGCACGCATATTCATCTAGGTGTGCTGGTTCACACTCGAGACCCCAGCACTTGGAGGTAAAGAA